ACTAATGTATTAGGTATAACGATATTTATGTTTCAATAATTTTTGACCGACTTTGTTAATAAAACAATTAATAACGTAAGTACATCTCGTAAACGTACATAGAATAAATAATTTAAAAAAAAAAACCCCGTGCAGTATTTCGACGAAAATTACCGAACTGGACCAGTGATCGGGGAAAAAAAAATGTTTTTTTTTTTTTAATATAACGTTGGGCAATCCATCAAACGTATTTTTTTATTTTTTTTGTCACGTCAAAACGGCTAGGCTACGCATAAAACGATTTGTCAACATTTCAATATAATCAGGCGCGCGCTAAGTGTATGCAAAAACGAAACGTAAATACATAATACAAGTTATTGAGGCAGCGAACGGGCAGAGTGGTGGGGAAACGGTTCATCTTTACAGCGTCGGTGTTAGCACGCATCGTGTTGGTTAATTTTTCTTAATCCGTTTGCTGGAAAAATGAAAATAAATAAGATCTACGTAATAATGATAACGATTTCCGCGCATAAAAATTATGTTTCTCGCGCCGCATTACGTTACCATGTGCGTACACGGATAATAAATGTCCGGTCTTACAACGCAGGTACAGAGCAATGATATAACACTATTAGGAAGGAGAAGAAAAAAAAATGAATACATTAAATTCTAACATGCACCGCACAGCGCTTACGCGTACGTTCAAGTCCGCGATATAAAATTAGACCGTTATTTTGTAGAAAATGGTTTTTATTATGAATTATGCAAACCGCGTTACACGCCGAAGCACAGATGTATTATATTAAACATGTACGTATTGTTTTTATCGCGAGTGTTTTTCCGTTGCGCCGTTGCACCCCGTTCGTCGTATGAACGTTGCGCGGAACTCGCATTTTTTAATTAAAATTCGTATGCCAATCTTGTCCGATTTTAAATAATTAAAATATCATCGGCAGTGACTTCTAACTTCCGATCGGATTGAAACCAAACCAACGACCGCTACTGCTCGAATGGTATTACTATATGCCGACCGAATTTCTAGTCACCTATTAAAACAGATCCGGTAGGTTTAGCGCAACGTTTACATTCTTTTCGTTTTCGTTTTCGTAATATTAACGCACAATTAAAAAAAACAATACGTGCCATTTCTAATAGTTCGAGAACTAATATGGTTTAATTTATTAAACCGGCGGCAATACGCGTAATATGATCGATAGGTAAAACGGATTTCAAGTAGTTTTTTTGTTGTTTTCGCTATGATCGAATTTATTATTATTGAAATTTTACTGGTCTTTCGTTAAGACGACACCATAATAATATTAATATATAGAACGAGAACATGCCATACATATTTTTTAATATGTATATACACATTGACTTTAAAGTAATAAAAAACTAGAGGGTTGGTGATTTGAGTAATTACACATTTTTTTGACGTAAAAATATTGTTTATGCAAGTTTATCGTCCTTTCAAATTGTATTTAATTTCGTATGTTTCATCAAACACTACGAAAAATAAAAATGGTTTTTTTTTTTTGCTTAACGCACGTACACAATATTATTATAACACCCGAGAAAATCGACTAACGACGAATACAATATTATATTAACAACCGAAAACTGGACGTCTAAGATAATTGTTATTTAATTAATAACATCCCAAGTGAAATTCACAATGTATATAATTTCTTCTCTAAGCCGTATAAAATTCCAGTTGGTGCATATTATAAGACCTCTTTTCAGAAATAAAATTCCTGTAGAGTTTATAATTCGATCCATATGGTTGAGATAGATTTTACAATCACATTATATGAAGTTTCAAGTAACTAAAGGGTAAAGGTTTTCCGACTATGCAATATCAGTGTACGCAATATAGTATACATACAACGATTTACAATCAATATAGAAATATTTAAACGTGTATTATATAATAACAGACTTTCTAGAATTAATTATTATACGGTTTTTATTTAAAACGAATTTAATATAACGAAAAATAATAACCATTGACACATATCAAATTTATTTGATTAATAATTACAGTATAAAAACGCAGTTGTATTGGATTGAATTTATATTGAAATAAAACACTACAATTGATGGTGTTAACCCGGTGACAAAAGTTGAAGAATTAAAAATAATGAATTGTACCAATTATTCTGTAACTGTATTTATATCGTTTTCAATCATTAATGTTCAGTTGCATGTGAAAGTGTTTTTGGCAAGTTTATGGCAGCAACAGTGGGAATACGAGATTCGAATTAGTGGCGTTACATATATTTGCGAACGAAATAAAAACTGTAGATAGTATCATTATGGTTTTGACCATTCAATGTTTAACGTTCTGGCGTTAAGGCAGCGCACTTAAAAACTGATATTATATTTTGTAGTAAATAAATTATCTATAGTCGTTCAGATGGGAATATTGGAGAAATAACGTTCCGTGATAATTATCATAAAGATTATTTTTTTCATGTACGTCTTACTAAGTCATTCGATTGAATTCCTATAATATTGTTTATGTTAATATGATTTACCAAGTACTCGGGACGCGTTTTAATTGTTTTTTTATATCTAACAACTATATTTCTTCCATTTAGCTATCGTTTTCATTCGAGTTTATTAGTTTCGTAACTACATATATTTGTTTTAATGTTATAATTCGTTGTATAGACTAAAAAAAAGGCTATTATTTATTTTCATAATAATATAGTCTGGTTATAAATATGATACTCATAAATATTATCGAAATATATTAAATTAACTTATTGTATATTTAATTTATGATATAGCTTATTTATTAATATTGGGAATACGTATGTAAATTTGGAAATCTAACTTTATTATAGTCTGTGCGTTTAAATTTACACGTTGATTGGTACGATTTTTATAAGATTAATCGCTTTGTATTCGAACTGTATCTAAAACTCATCAAAAACCTTCCATTTCGATTTTACGTTGTTTTCGGTATTTATTTTAATTTTTATAAAAGCTTAACGTTTAACTATAATTACGTTATTCATATCATATTCAGTTTTATGTTTAATATATTAAATTTGAAAATTACATTTTAGAAAAAGAATTATTGTTTTTACGAATATATTATTCATTTTTATTTTAAAATATTTTATAAACCGAGTTCCGTTCAGAATATTTTCCCAACCGCAATGATTTATTGTAACAACTTTAAAATTTAAAACAATATTAAAATGCTAGGTTGCACCGAGATGATCGAAGTGAGACGAGTTTCCAAAGCTCAGTTATTAAAATATGTATGACTAAGCTCTATATATAATTTTTTTTTTGTACTGACAATAATTTTATATTTATCTACCACAAATTAAATAAATAATATTTTAACAAATAGTTTTAAAATATCTTTTCTTAGAAAGTAATTTCTTGAAATTTAAATACAGCATTATTTAAACAAGTAGTTCAATTTTTACATATAATATTTATTTACATTTTTTATTCATTATAGTTTTTTTTTTTATAAATATATAATCAATTTATCAAAAATAATATTTTTTCATGTATTGGTGATGATCGTGAAGTATATTTTTCTTAAACTACACAATATTTTAACACAAAGATTATTTCAGTGTTTGCAGGTGGTCGACACTCAAGTTTTAAAAATAATGTACCCTATAGTAGAACAATTTCGTAAGAGTTTTATTATGTTTGTGAAATGTATCAGGTACATTTGTACACCTTTTCGTGTCCATACGAATTTCCGTCCGCGTAATACTACTCATATGTGCCTATTTTTGAAGTTCGATGATTACAATTTGTACATGAATTGAACAGCCTATAATCTTAAAGCGTAATATTAATTAATGTCGAATCCATAAAAGAACATCGACCGGAAAGAACGCGTTGATTTCAACACGAATTATTGTTATCACTGTAATATCCAATACAATATATGCTGAAAACTGTCAACGGCATAAGGAGTCGCATAGGACTTATGAAACACTCAGTTTTAGACAGGTTTCCGGATGCAGCCCAGTACAATGTACTCGTGATATTATTTGCGACCGGACCAGATGCCGTTTCAACCATATGGACACGATATCCTGGGTCCGTTATAGACGCGTTTCGCTGCATCGTGAACGACAAAAATGTGAGTGCAATATCAACGGTATCCAGTTTGATAAACCGTTCGCGCGTCGAACAAGGCAATGTTTTCATATTGACGGTTTTAACGCACACCGCTGCGATGAACGCAATCGTACGCAATCGTAACATCGTAACAGATGCAATAAATATTATTAATCCAAAGTGCGAGTTTGTTTTGTTTCCGTTCATCACGTGCGCGTTTATTAAACCGGGACCTGTATCTGGTTTTATTATTGTTTCTGTAGATGACGCGCGTGTCGAGATGGGATCGTAACTGCATCAATGTTCAAGTACTAATGTCTGGCGCTGTGTGTAACGTACGACGTATCGAACGATGTGCGTTTTGCGTACTAGCGTGCATCTATTCGTCGGGAGAAAAAATAACAATAATATATAAATAAACGAATAAATAAATGGAGCCTGGTGTGTTTTTATTTCGTAAAATTAACAAAAATAAATCTTACTTCGTTTTAGACTAAGCAATTATTTATTTATTTATTTCTGTAACATAAGCTATTTATTTATTTGTTACTATATTAATCTACGAGCGTTGACAATTTATTAATTTCGGTTTTAATTTTGTTTTTTTTATTATTTTATTTATAATAATAAATCGGTAAATACGTTATTATTGTCGACGGACGAGGCTCATCATCACATGTCGAGTTTTTATCCGAACTTTGATTAGGAAAACTGGAGAGATGTTATTATCATAAAGTCCGTCGGCCATTGTCGGACGCCGTGGCGACGGTGGCGGAGGAAAGGAGAATAAAACAAAAAAATCACCGTTGGCGGGTTCCTTGAAAGTTGTCTCCGACCGGAGCCGACCGCGCACGACCGCTTCCGGCGGCAATTGGCTTCAATAACGGGATAACCGTAAAAACCGTTCCTCAGTGAATGGTACGCCGCATGCCCTTCGCTATGGTCTCTCTGAGCCTAGTGCCCGTACCGCGGTGAAAGTTTCTCGTAACGCATTTTTCGATTGGTTATAATTTTTCGTTTCGTTCCGTTTCTTCTACTGTGGTGCATTATCATGTTCGCGATTAACGTTCCATTTGTTGTGTATTGAATTTAAACCGCGGGAAGAAAAAAAAACGTTTTCATTATTTTTCGAGGTTAAATAAAAGTCAAGAAAAAAGAAAAAAAAATCGAAAAAAAATTATTTCAACTAGTCCCTCCCCCTCAGTGATATAACCGACGTTTTTTTATTAGTGATTTATATGTACATTAGTATCTGTTTTTTGTGAACTAATATATTGTCACGTGGAGTCGGTGGGATAACAATCCGGACTAATAATAGTAAGTCGACTGCAATAAAACTGTTTTATTCGATATAAATTTACGCTACAAAAGATCTCACTTAAATTCTATACGAGGATCATATAACCGGTATAGTTTACATTTTTTCATCGACGTGATCGACGTGAACACTGTAGTCGTCGATATCATCCTCAAATCGGGTGCAAAGCGATTTGATCATCACAAGCATTTTAATGTCACAAAGTAAAAATAGGGCCGGAAACGATGTGTTGTCACACGGTTATAATAAAAAAATGTGCTCGATTCATCGACGCGAATCCTACTGCAAATGTAATATAATTTAAAATTATCTAAATAAGAAGTAAAAATTTTTAAATCGTTGAATGATTTAAGTTTTTTATCTATTAACTAATATAATACTCCCGGAGGGTCAACGTAAACAGATATACGCTGTTGTTGTTCAATGTTGACCTTTTAATTATTTATTTAAAACTCATAACGGCCGTATCGCACTCGACTAATCAACGTTATTATAAATGGCAATATCATTATTATCATCTTGATACAACATGTTATGCAATATTACAGTAAAATAAATGCAAGCCGGAACGTTGTAATCATTGTTTACGGTTCTGCAGTCATTTTAACTGATACGAAGATGTATTTTCGAACGGGTAAATCGAGACGTTACCACATTGTCGATTGGTTTTATTAGGTGTTTTTTCAATGAGTCGCATAACTAATGGGAATTTATCTTTAGTCATTTTTCGTACTCAATATTTTCTAACAGTAGTTTTCTCATACAAATGTCCTGACATCTCGATGATAAACGATGATCGTTAATGACTATTATTTGTCTTATGTGTTTGCGTTAAAGCAACGGTATAATGTCCGGAAAGAACAAGAATTCTAGTACATATATGTATGTAGATGGTTAGGCCTTTCATTATGTTCAATGAGCTAAAATATTCGATTTCCAAAGAAAAGTTTTAGTATTACTATTTTTAAACGTGCTAATTTCTCCTAATATGGTGTGCCTATGTGTACATTTATTCAGCTATTTTCGTTTGAAATTAAAGTTTTTTTTTTTATCATTTTAAAGTATTCAAAACATAACACAACAAAGCTACAATTGTTGGATTTTAAGTTTTTATTATTGTTTTAATAATTATAATTAATTATCGTTGGTATAGGTAATATACACTTTAAAGTGCTATGAAAAAAGAATTGCTCAGTTATCCTCTTGAAGTTGCAAACACTTAATTTTTTTTCGTTATTTAACAGGTTCAATTAACTTATACTTTAAATAACCATTATTGAAACGATTTATACATCAACAAATTATTTATTTCAGATTTCCTAATAATTACAAGCTTGTAAATAATTTGGTTTCATAAATATTTGAAAAATATTAAATTTATGTTTTAAATTTTGCTTCAAATTAACACGATATTTGATAATGATTATATTATTAAATGTAAAGGTACTTAATATTGCTTTTTAAGTAGTAGTTGAATGAAAGATCTTAATTTGATTTTAAACTCAGAGTTGTATAATAAAATGTCTTATAAAATCTGTACCTATTATGGATATTATTTATACATTGTTTATTTAAAATACATACGTATAAAACTTATTTATTCATTTATTTAATCGTTGTAGAATATTTACTATCGTTCAAATTAATATAATAATTATATATTATAAAAAAAATAAATATTATTTGATCGTTGTGTGTAGCGGTTTGAAATTCAATGCTTTGAGTTTGAAAATAATAAGTAAATAAGTACTATTATATTTACCACAAACTTGGTTTGAAAAATATTTCAATTATTATTTTAATTATATTAATTTAGTTTATCAAAAAATAGTTCATTGTTTGAAAGACAAGAGTGGGAATAGTATGCATTTGAATTTTATTGAAGGACATGAAATCATTTATTATGTTTTTTTTTTGTGTAACTTATTTATAAAAACACCTAATAATTCCAAACAATAACCTCAAAAAACGTGATAGTAATTAAATGGTTAATTTCTTTAATATTATTTTCGAAGGTCAGAATTCGAAACAATAGTTAGACTGTTGTATTGACCCACTGCTGGTGATTATCATCAAATATCCGCCCACTATTTTTCATTGCTTATGGGTCGGTTATTAATTCAGTGAACGAGTGCAAGATTAACATAAAATATTTTATTATTTTCGTTCGACAATATTCAAAATGTTTATCCTAAATCTTAAATTTATAATATTTTTGACGGTGACATGTTTTTTTTCCAAACCTTGGGTTCCATAAAGAAATTAGTCAGGCACTGAGTTTATAATAATAAGTATTTGGTTTTTAATTTTCAGTTGCGAATCTTATGTACAAGTACGTTATATCAAAGTACAAGTATGTGTTGATAGTCAAATCGAATTATGATCCTAGACTGAGTCAAGCAACGATTGCAGGAGCTCACTGCCGTTGTTTGCAAATCAACTTTCACCTATATCGTTTTTTTTTTTTTTTCAATGGCGACAATGACGTAACATATAGACGATAGACGCACATATATGATACACGCCTTTGCGTCTGCTTTAAAATATTGACCCTGCATTAAATCACAACGCATTGTTGACAAGTACGAAAATTTCGATAATAACGTACCACATTAAGTCCGGAAACACTGGACTCCGTAGGTATTATTATGATTGTCCACTCTTCATTTCAAAACTACTTTTACATTATTAATGAGGTTAAAATGCTGTGCGCGCGCATAAACGATATTTACGTTTGGTCTACTTTACGTCCATAAATGCATATGTGTGCGAACCGGAACGAAAATTAATCGAATAAAAATTACATGGAATTTGGATATTTCTAACGTGACAACTAGCCGACGAGTAATTAGCCCTAAATAGTTATTAAATTATAATATTCTGCGTATCGCGCCGTCAATAAGAAATAATATTATAGAAAGTGTAATATTCTCATGTATGTGAGTGTGTATTTGGTGCGATTTGTATATATACATAAAATGTATATAGTACATGTATAAAATACCCGTAACTAGAGTATGAAATTAAATCGCACGGTTGTATGATAATATTATTAAAATACGATTAACCGACTTAACTATATTGGTACTTTCCGGTCGTCGGAAAATTAAATTTAAAATAAAAAAAATTTGTTTTATTGAATTTTCAGATTTTTGACAATATGTTGACGACGGAACGATGAGTTCAATCGAAATGAATTCTTATTTGGAAGTCTGGAAATGTCGGCTTAGACTAAAGAAATCGGTTGAAGCGCTCGCGTCATCAACATTGACCTGAGATCTACCTACTCGGACGGATTTCGTTTATAATCTACCGAACAATGAAATCCGCGCTGCTGACGGCCCCGTTTCTGATAATAATACTGTCGCTTGCATCGGCGGACATAAATTTCATGCAATCTTGCGAGTACCCCGCTCAGTGTCGATGCGATCACCACGAGCCGACAGAGGTTTCGTGCAGGAATCTGGGACTTACGAGGGTACCCGATGACGTACCCGTGAACATCACTAAGCTGTAAGTAATCCGAAATTATGAAAAATAAAACATTTTAGGTTAGGCCTAACTATACATATGAGGCCATGTTTGTGTGTGTATGTGGTGGTTCTTGTCAAAAAAAAAAAAAACATAAAAAAACGATTGTATTATAATAATACGCGTACATCATGGTTTACCAAAAGTATATTGGTCCAATTGGATGCATATAATGTATTTAAAATTATATAATCATACATTTATAAAAGTTTGTTTATTTTCACGTGATGACGTGTTTGATATTTTATTTTTCACAACTATAATTAAATAGCGATAAGTAGTGTACGTCGTTACTCAAGACGTGGTTCGGAGATAAAACGAGGAAATGGTTAGCGGAGCGACCTTCGTCCTCAGAATTATGACCTATAAATATAGCCGAACCGAACGGAATTTTTCTTGAATAATAAACGATCGGTGGTTTCATAACGGAATAGTTCTTATAGGATTTTGATCAATATGATTTCGGGCGTTTTGTAGTTTTTTTTTTTTTTAATCTAATGCCGGATCCACTTAAAATTGTCTTTTGTGTAGTTCTTTTTTAACACCTATCTTTGTTTTGAAAGTTTCGCTTATGTTTTATCTAATTTTTCACTAAGTATGGTCTTCAATCAAAATAATATATATTATTTATCGTTATGAGACATATAAACATTATAAGCAATTGAGCGTTTAACACTATAAATAATTTAAACGTTATTCAATTTAAGCATTTAAACGTTATACAAATTTAAACCTTTAAAAAAATTTTCGTTTACCATTATTGACAGTTAAACGTTAAGAAAAATTTAGCGTTTTGTGTTATTTAAATTAGTGTAAAATTTGAAACGTTTTCAAATGTAGTAATACTATAAAATAAATCATAATTTTTGTTTCTTAATAGAATACCCATTACTTACATAAAAATTGTCTTGGTCTAAAAATTCTTGGGGGGGGGGGGGCGATTGCCCCCATCACCCCCTCTCAAATACGTCACTGGGTCGATTATGAATCACGTCCGTGGTGATGCACACTCGCGCTAGCGGTGTTGATTAATGCATGAATTCGTGGTAAATCTATCTAATGTATATACTTGTTATGCGATTAACGTTTAAAAATGTTACGTAATTGTTCAGCCGCGGTGCCAAAAGGCAAACATTTCTTGTTATATTTAATTGATAAAGATAAAAAAAAACATGTTTTAATGAATACCGCAGCGGATTTGCTAGTTCAAAACTCAGCTATAAGACGAATCGAAAGTGCCTTCGAAAATTTCCACTGGCATACATTTTAAAATATTCTATCTGGATTATTGTGCAGTTACTTTATACATTGTTTATAAATATCAACGGTGGAAATTATTCTTATGATTTACATATTTTACGGTGCGAGAAATTCTATTGAAGAACATAATTTTATTTGGAATCTTTGCAAATACTAATAGGTGAAAAGTGGCTAGTTATAAAAATAAAATCATATTATGTTATAAATGGTTAAATTTTTCTTGGTTTTGGTGCTTGACAATTAATTCGATTACAAAGCAATATTCTTTCAGTGAGAATCTATAAACGAATATAATACTTTTAAAACGTTAAAACTATTTAATTGTTTTTCTGGAATGAAATTGGTAACGGCTTTTAATTAGTTTAATATTCTACTCGGTCATCAATCATGTAGTGTGGACATCATCGAAATCACAATATACAATAGTTATTACTATTTCATAAAAAATGATTATGAATTATAAAATTATGTAGTTTTTAAGATCAATGTTTAGTAATGAAATATATTATATTATTCGGGTTAAAAATATTACTCAAATACAGTTTGATAATTTATTTTTAAACTTTATTTTTATTTCATTTTATGTTTTTTTTCATTGAGTATCTATACTTAATATGCATCATTAAAAGACTATATTCATCATGATTGATTGATGCCAGAAAAAATAACACAAACAGTAGGCATATAAACGTGTTTCAAATGACAATAATTTTGGAAAAAATACAAAAAAACCGAGAGAAGAATGAAAAATTTGGCACATAAATTTTCGAGCTCTGACTGCAGAAAAATTATGGTTTGGAAATGTGATATTCAACTTTATCTGAATCATAAAGTGTTATTTATTTTTTCAATAGAATTAATATACGCATGCAATCTTGGTAATATTTTTATGTTTCTAAGATGGATAAATGTCGTATTTGCATAATTCAATAACTTATGATTTAGATATATTTTTCGAGCAATAAGAATAATTATAACGTATTTATAAGTTCATTATTGTGTATATATATGTGTATACATATACTGTTTCTTTTTACTTGCTCTAAGCATATTTCATCATTTATTTTTATTTTTTATATGCAACTGGTGCAGACTCAACAGAGATACTTTAGCCGTATATTAAAATCCGTTTTTCTTCAGTAACAAACGACTGTGATCACATTACGTCTATTCACTCTCAGTCCATTGCATTTTTTCAGCTCGTTTAATTTCGCAGCGTTTAGTCTCCTCATTTATCAAAATCACGTTGAGTAAATGTACTGAGCCCGTAAAGTCGCACGTTTAAAATATCTTTACGACGGCGTCGTTTATTATTTAGTGCGACAAACAGTTGATCCTTAATATTAATTTCTTTCGAATGAAATATTAGTACAGTAACAACCTAACCAGGCGTTCGAAACGTTTGAATACTGTTTGAATAGCCATAAATCATAACGGAAGTTAAAAATAAATAAAAGATAAACGTTACACCAAAGAAGATATTTAAACACGTACTGGGCATAACATTATTGTTCCTGGAGATGCAGGTGTGATAATCTGATTATAGATATTTTATGAGAGCTGATTTGGATGATAATAATGTTGAGATAGTACATGTGCATGAGATTTATTTAAATAGAAAAATAATTTCCCTCTAATATGATTGGACAATGATTTATAGTAAACAACAAAATTGTGTAGTAGTAGGTAAGGAGTATTTCATATTTAATTCCTTAAAAATTAACATAATCTATACTATTCTTAATGTTACATAATAATAATAATAATAATAATAAAAGGATCAGATTTCCTTAGTACCTGAACTTGTTTTTTACCAACCGTTTACTTATTAATCATATGACGTTATGTTTTTACATTTTTTAAATGATATTTTTGGTTTCTGTAGATTTTATGAAATATATTATTTGCTCAAACAGAAATAGGAAGAACAATATGATTAGTATGTAAAAAAAAATCGTTCTTGTTCAATCTATGCGGTACCATGTTAATTTAAACATAATTTTAATACGTAAAACGTAATTGGTCATATTGGTTTTAATTTAATACACTAACGATTTGTTCTGTGAAAATTGTTATTGTATATACTTAAAATTTTGAAAATCGATACATGATTAGTGGTATACATACAATAATCTGATATTTTAATCATTGAGTAATTATTGTATTGATAAAATGCTGGAATTTTAAATTCTATCGAAATCAATGAGAATGCAATTATAGTTATTATAATAATATGTTACAAATTTGTTAGAATAAATTTCCATAGTCGGATAATCATTGTTTTAAGTCTAATCATGAAGTTATTATAATAATTGATTTACATTATTTATATCTAAGTATATTTTTCTACAGTTTAACTGTTTCCAGTAGATAATTCTTAAGATACGTTTTTCAAGACGCGACACGTCGCCATGACCAATCACTGCAACTTGTCGTCGCGACGCATTTTTGATAGCTACAAAATACATAATATTCAGTTCACTTGCAAACCTGACCACATACAGACGCGTGTGTTATTTTAATTTGAATTAATATTTAATACAGTTTCGTTTTAATAATTATGGAGATGTATATTAATAATAATAACATTTTGACTTTATTATTGGAAGAAGGAGATGAAAAATATTTTATATTTTTTTATCTAAAACCAAAAAAAAAAAAAAGTGAACAGATGAGGAAAATTGAAAATTGAAAATATATAATATAATATATGGTATATTTTTCTATGGTCGTCATGACGTTTTGCGTGGTAATGCTCATTGAGCAGTTATGTCGTCGGTCGTGTCTTGCAAAACAGTTGATACTATCTTCGTATAAATAGATATTGATGACATGTCGCGGCTAAGTGTCGCGCTTTGGAAAACGTACATTTAGGTTAATTTTTTCAGATAAATTATCCCAATCCCATGCAATGTTCAGACTAGATTAATAATTTTTTATTTAGATAAAAATTGCTTTTTCAATCATATTAATTTTAACTACCCCCATAATCATTATTGATTATTTTTACGACATCTATTCAGGAAATTCATGGAATAATCTCTTAGTCTCCGTAGCACTTTAAAGGTTAATTGAAAATTAGACATTAAGAATAAAATAGATAAATAAAGGTTAGATAACTAAAATGTTCATCTGAAATACATATTCGGTTTCAAAAGAAAACATACCGTTCTCGCATATACTGGAGGTCAATTGAAGTGTTCGGGAGTAATAACCGGGTATCTCCATTTTTTTTCGAAATTCAGGTTTTTGCATTTTCTAATTAAGAATAATTTTGTGAACATTTAGGTGCAATAACCGTGTATATCGGTTAATTAAATAATGTATTATCATACGATTGGTGATGCCTGGTAACAGTGTTTGGTGCATTAACTAGATGTCTCCGGAGATACCCGGTTACTACTCAGAGATAAGTGTAATACTTTTCATATAGAGTTTTAAAGTTACACTGTTTTGTTTTATTAGTGATTATATGTATTTTCACCATAAATAGTTATTAAGTCAAAATATGGAAAAAAAATTTCATTTCGGTTCAATAATCAGGTATCTCCATGTTTTCTTATTTGTACTTATAAAATAATGTACTTAAGATAATCTAAAATGTAAATATATATACATTTTTAGTTAGATCTTCATTTGAAGAATTCAAATATGTTTTTACAATATGTATACCACTATCAGAAATCAAATTATTTGGTTATTTGTTTCTCTTGAAAAATTTA